AATATGATACTCTTCCATTGAATCATTATGTCTGAAAGTAGCATAAACCAATTGCATTAAAAAAATTTGTTTGTTTTGATGTTTCCTGGTAATTATTTCTACATATAGGTAGAGCTAGTACTGCCTGATGTTATTATACTATATAATGTTCTTAAATTCTAAAAAACATTCTCTTTGTTTCCCATTCAATCATTCATCCATTTAATCAACTAATAAGTGTTTATGGGACTTCTGCTCTTTACAACGTCCTTATTAGATGGTGTGTCAGTTATCAATTTATTACCTCGGAGTTCCAAGTTTACCCTTCATTACCTGCTCTGTTGTATTGGTGCTTAACCCTTACACGTTTCTTCTTTACAGCTAGCACCGTAGTAAACTTTGTCAGTAGAGGGCACTGGAGGGACATTTTGGAAGGAAGGAGCTTCTATTATTGGTTACATTGTTCTTCTGTGTTTTTGGTGGTTCTTGCCCTTGCTGCATAGTTGGCAGTGCTCTCTGCAAACACCCCACATCGCCTCCCAGAGAGCATGCAGCCCCAGACCTGGCCTAATGGCAGGATGCCCTGACCTCACGCTACCTGCTGCTGTGCGACGTTTCCTGCTTCTCCAGCTACTGTGGATCAGCTCTGCTGAGGACCAGCAAACTCATCATCCAGTGAACTACCGCCACCCCTTGCTTAAGAAACCCAGTTCTCAGCAACATCCCTACCCTCTCCACGTTTGGTTTTTTCCTTGGGTGCTCAGGTTATTCTTTAGGGCTCTCCTTGTCACTTTAAATTTCTACCTTTTTATAGGTAGTAAATCTTTATATTATACTTTCACTGTTAAGTTTACCACATGCCTTCTGTCTTATGATTGGACACTGAGGAAGACGGGTGCTTTCTAAGAGAACATTATTGCCTTTCTGAGGAAAATATATTATTTCCATTTAAATTATTTAACATTTATTAAAAAGCAATGTGTAATTAGGGGCTAGAATCAAACATTCAAAAGCTGTGAGCCAGTGAGGAAAAGAAAATTGCCTTGGCATTTGGAGAAAATTGTGAGGAGTTTGTCAGATATGAGAGGAGGTGGTTTGTGAAGAGACGTGAGAGGCAAAATGGCTGAAGTGCTTTGGAGCAAGATCATAGGAGGCTGTGAGCACTGAGCAGAGAAGCTGGAATTTCTTTTTCAGTTTATAGGATTTTGACTGACAATACAAATGTTATGTTACCGTATTAAGGTATACAAACACACATACACAAAGGAATTTGAAAGTACGGAAATCTATTTATCACTTGCTATTTTCTTTGCTATTAATTCTGTTTTCTGTGTTAATACCCTATTCATAGAAGTGTAACTTAAAAAGTTCCTTAATACATAAAATCCATGGTATATTACTTATTCCTCTAGATATTAGGCTTTTATGGTGGTGATGTTTATGAATATGAGACTTAGTTTCTTTGGCCATGACTTTTACTAAAAAGTACAATTTAGTCTCGGTATTCTCTGTCTCCTTTTAAATGAATTGAGATAAGAAACAACTGATTTTTGTGTTGTGTCTTTTTGAATGCTAAGATGATGATAGTGTGGAGACTGAAAAACGGACTTATTTTGAAAGCCCCCAAACCTGAGTTTATTTACTGCTAATCATCATTTGATGTTCTTCACGTAAGGTAGTATTCATATAATCTCCTTTTAAATAAATAAAAATCTAAATAAATAAATCTAATGCCTCTCACTGTAGAGGATTTGGGAAAATGTACGTAGCAAAAATAGAAAACAGAAGATAATTAGATTCCTCCCAAGATTATACCATTACATTTTGCTATATAGTCTTTGTTTTTTCCAGTCCTATATATAAACTTATGTGTATGTATGTGTGAATATATATTTACACAAATATATATTAATATTTAACATCAATACGTATTTCTACAAATGGGCATAATATTTTATAACCTCCATATTTTACTTAACCATATTGTGAATATCTTTCACAAAATATTTTTAAATAACATATTCTCTTAATGACTGCATAATTAATCATCAACGTGCCTTACTAGAATTTTATAAATTACTTATTATTGGACATTTGAAATACCTTGTTATTCGCTATTTTAAAGTCTGATGATGACATGGGCATCATTTTTAGCTATATCGTGGATGTATATATGACTGTTTATCTGGTACACATTTGCAGACATGAAATTGGCAGATCAGAGAATATGTGTTGCTTTAAGCTTTTTAGTCTTACTGCCAAAATGCTTTCCAGACAGGTTGCACTTTCTATAAACAATAATAAAAGCACATAAGTTTTTTCCTCTACCTTGACTGACATATTTGAGAACTCTGCTGCTACAGAGACTATAAGAAATATTTGTAAGGTTATATTAAAGAAACTGTATTAATTAAAAGTTAATACATTGTATGGCTGTGAACACAGATATTTCAGTATTAAGCCTCGAGACGGCCAAACTCTTATTAGTAACCTGAGGGATTAGTTAGCTAGTAATACAACAATAATAAATAAGCTTAAATTTTAAAGGATGAGGGAAGCACGTATTGTAGAATTGTCCTGCTGTTAGGATTGGGAGCTGGTTATTCTGGGAGACTGTAGAAGTCATTTTTAGAAGTTGATCAGAACAGCACAGTGTTCCTGCGTCTGGGATGATGAAGGGGAATCCTGTGTCACACGGGCAGCTGCCTCCATGGTGCCTATGGGATAAATTGCCACACTCTCAAGGCAGTAGGCAGAAGGACTCAGGTGGCTTTTTGATTTCAGTGCCTCTTTTGGGGGACTGTGCCCTAAATGCATCATAATTCCAGAGCACTCAGGTAGTATAGTGATGGACTGCATTGAAAGAAGACCATTTAATAGGACCAGTCCATGTAGACATCAGCACTAATTTCATTATTTACCTTTCTTGAAACTCTAAAATGATTTAGTCAAGCTTTCACTTCATGACTTTTGTTTTCCTAATGATCATATCGGTAATGCCTACCAATTTACCTATCTCATTTCTTTAATAAGAAAATTATTATAGCTTAAAAGTGCAACAGGCTGAAAATCACGAAATGATCTTCATGGTAAATATCATGCTATGTAATTAAAATGTGACTGAAAGCACATTTTACTCCAGGTTTATTCTATAACAGAAGAAAATGATAATTAGCCAGTAAATCATTTTGTAGATCATTACTATAAAATTGACATTCATAAGTCATGATTGATGCAGACCTGTAAAAATAATTTAAATATACTACTACCATAATATGCCACTGAAAAGCTGGAGTAGTGGCAAAATAGGGCACAGGTTAATGAAGAAGCTGAGGCCCAACAGTGCTGATTACCTTATCCAAGATCTTAGGTCCTACTTAAAAGTAAGAATTGGTGTGCTATGCAGTGGTCAGTCTCAAAGACATCTTGTTACATCTGCCACCGATGGCAGAATATGGATAGAACCAAGAATAGAAACATCACGCTTCTGTAAATTAGGTTGGAATCCAGGATATCCTGTTTCAGAAATGGTATAATGTCTCCAAAAAATGTGCATGGACAATTTATTCTACTAAGGTGTTGTCTGTGAAAATCAGGAAGGAAAATAAAAATAATTCCAGCTTGTAAGAGATGATAAGTGGGAAAATGTAGTGAACAATGGTATTAGTCCCTGTCACTGGAGTGTGCTTACTCTATATTTGGACACTTGTTATATGAAATCTTCACAAAAGCTCCTACCCATAGGGTACCATTCAGTGGGAATTGGTCAGATTTGAAAATTGGTTTCTTAAGTAGTTAAAGCTATGACTCTGTTATTGGGGGTTAATTGAACTAGGTAGACCCATAGTTGTTGATTACTTAATGTGTCATGCGTACAAATTTTCAGGAGGGAATACAGAGGATTGATTAATTCTGCATATTGTTAGGAAGAGACGGTAGCGTGTGTAGCCCTTGTAATACTGGGTTCTGTAACACTGCACCTAATATATTTTGGTTAAAATTATATCCTAGAAAAAAGATACTTTACGATTAAATTTGTGTTCTATCTGATGTGTGATATTTACATTTTTGTGATATGTGTTTGTCAAAATCCACAGTGACCTGAGAACAGCTGCTTATTGTATTGCAGAGGCACTTGGATTCATATTAGCAGCCCGGTGGTCAAGTCCCACTTTTGTGCTTAGTCATTACATAATCTTTGCTTGCAATGTCAAGTTTGTGTATGAGTGCTATGCGCTGTGCCTCTCCACGATAGATTACCAATATTTATTAAATGAAAGGAAGTGAAGTCGATTAGTAATTTCAACTGGATTTCTTGAAGCCTTAGCAGAGTATAGGTCTGCTGCAGAGTTTGGCTAATAGAAGTGGCGATTAGCTAACCACTGAGTGGGTAAGCCTCCAGATGGGTAAATCTACTGTGCGCACAATTCTCTACTCAGAAGTTTTAAATTTTAGCTCTCACATTAGTACTACAAAGTATCATTATTCTCTGAATGAGTTTCAAAGTGATTAGTACATTGTGAACAGTCACACAACTTATATAAATGATGATTTTAGGCTTATTCTATTGCCTGCACTCCTAACCTATCTCCCTGCCACAATATTCTGTATAGGAGAAAAATAAACAAGGTGCATCGTCTATGTAAACAAGGCAAAAAAGTTATTGTTTTTGTTTGTTTCTCTGATTTATATTAAAAGACTTCTTTTTACTCAGGTCTAGAAATTTTTCAGAGTGAGCTCTGGATTTGATACAGGCATTTGCTAGTTTGTTATATGACTTTGAATAAGTTACTAATTTACAAAATAAGTATAACAACATGTTGTTTAAATGGAATGAGTTAATATACATTGTGTTCTTTGAACAGTGTCTCTTACTGAGTTCAATAATACACCTGCTTGATTAATACTTTTCTCTGGCTATATTCTTAAAGACCGATCAGAGTGGATTGGTACATTTTTATTATTATACGTATCCTTCTGATTATGTGTATTTAGCATTATTATTCCTAATGTCATTTCAGGTTCCTATATGATAGTGGACTCTTCAGATCATGACCCTGGAGAAAAAGCCAGACTTCAGTTGCCTACGATGAAGGAGAATGACACCCACTGCATTGATTTCAGTTACCTGTTATACAGCCAGAAGGGGCTGAATCCTGGCACCTTGAACATACTAGTCAGGGTGAATAAAGGACCTCTTGCCAATCCGATTTGGAATGTGACTGGATTCACGGGTAGAGATTGGCTTCGGGCTGAGCTAGCAGTGAGCACCTTTTGGCCCAATGAGTACCAGGTAATCATCTGTGCTTTGGTGTGTGCTTTGATGTCACTGGGTCTCGCTGTGTGTGTGCTGCATACAGGTAAAGCGTAGTGAGGGATTGTCTCTCTTGCCCTACTCCACCCTTGCTGTTGAGGAAGTGTTTAGACATATTGGCAAAAAAACCTTCAAAAGAGAGAGTGTGTTTCCACATACTAAAAAAGGAGTACATTTAAGTTCCAAATTGGTTGGTTGGTTGGCGAAGAGCTATTTATTGGCAATTACCTCTCTGTGGCTTTGTTTAGGAGGTAACAGTCTTTGTAAATTGACTGTAATTTCAGACTAAACTGGTTTACTAAATTCTTGGAAGTAACGTTTGGAAAATAAACATGAGATAGTATTTCATGAAGAATGTTACCTTAAGGGAGGCATTTTTATTATTTTAATTGATTAATTATTATAATTATATGATTAAGTATTTTTGTCATTTAAATGGCATATTAAAAAAGACACAATATATTTGAATTTTATTTTCTAGAAATAAAATTGTGTGATCATGATTACACCAGACAATGAACAGTGTCTGAACTCATGTCTGACTGAGCTTCTGAGCTTATATTGTTTAACAACAGCAACAGCAATGACAACAACAAAAGGCCATTGATGACTTTGGAGGGTTATTCAGAGGGTTACTCAGTAACCCTCACTATGAGGTTCAGTACCTGGAAACTGAAATTCCTTACTTCAGAAGCTCATTTCTTATACCTTATACCTCACTTGTTATACCTTTAGATTTAACTTATAAAGGACTTCCTATTTGTAGCTTATTATATAGCTTAACGAGAATCATATTTGTAAAAGTATATTTCATTACAGTAAGTAAGCAGCATACAAACTAATCATAGTTTTGTTTCTGCTTTTTAAAAATTAAATACATCTTCTGTCTGAAGAGGACAAAAAGCAGTGTCTTAATGTAATTGCTTTGTCTTCTCTTGAGTTACTTTCGTATCTTACTTCATAGTGCTGGTTCCCCAGGTAAGGTTCAGTGTGGGGTTCTGTGTCTGTTGAGATTTCCGTGGGTTTTCATTAGGTACTGGCTGTCTCCATTATTCCCAAATAAGGGTGTTCCTCTTCAGTCTGGGGTGGCCATCTGCTTTTTCAGGGTCCACAGCTTCAGGAGGGCTGCCTAAGGGGAAGGTAGGTAAGGAGAGGTGTGTGTGAGACTAATGCTGAAGCTCTGGCTGCAACGTCGGTGGGCTCAACTCTGACCATAGTGGGTCGATGGCTGCCATCCCTGTGTCACCCTCACAGTGCATTATCAGTATACTGGTTTCACGAGAAACTGTCATAGGACCTTAACGTAGCTCTGGAAAGAAGCTCTGACAGCAGAATAAAATTGTCAATGGATTCAGCCCCCATAAAGCAAAGCCCCAAGTACTAAATTAATGTAGCAAAATCATTAAAAATGTGGGTTCTGGAGTCAAATCACCCATATTCAGCTGTTGGATATTTGCTACCTGTGTAGATGGTTGTTTAAGGAATTGGATTGTTAGTTGTACCTTTAAAAATGATCACAGAAGTAAATTTTGATATAGGCAACAAATTTTCTTTTCCCTCTTAACTAAGAAATGACATACATATAATTATTTTTCATTATTTTTAAAGATCTATCTTGGAATCATTGACGTTATTAACATTCTAACACAGATTACTGCCGTGTAATTCTAATGCTGAGTTACTGTATCTTGACTGGACAAATAGTTCTTTGTTCAGTTTCCTTTTGCATGATGAAACTCCCTAGGATAATAAGTGTCTGTGGTGTTATTTAAATAAACAGTGTAAAAAGTGCCTGGGTGAGTTTCAACTTGGCCAGGGAGATATTTTTGGAGATGCTTTGTTAGAGAAAAAGATGAGCAAATACATGAAACCTATGGGTAATATCTCATGAGGACAATGAAGGTCCTAGTTAGTACAAGGTGGGGGATGGGGTTGGGGAGAGCTGAGAAGGGGAGGTTGGAGGGGGTGGACGGTCAACGGATGTGGTACACCTCTTGGGGGCAGTACACAAATATAAGAGGGTCCTTATCTAACAAAAGGAATCATTGTAACCTCGTTCTGTGTACCCTCAATGAATCCCCAACAATAAAAAAAAAGTAAACTAAAAAAAATTTTTTTTGAGCCGTAGGTAATTTCTTAAGTGATTATTTTGCTACCACGTGTTTTTCCTTAACTTGCAAAGCTTAACCAACGACAGCAAATACCAGAGTAACTTTTATTCATGGCTTAGTGCTTAATAAGTTGCAATTGATGTTTTCATTGATTTAATCAATTATATACTTAGTTGTACCTGTATATTATTTATTAGAAACAACCGTTGTAACATAAACTTTATTTACATAGCATTTTTCAGTTTTTGAAATCAAGTATCTGTCAATTTTGTGGTAAGTGCTGGTTTGCAGGCAAAATATGATAGAATTTTTAGTAGGTCATTTAGGGGCTGACAGTCTCTTTACTTAAAAAGAAATTCAACCACTTAAGTAACTAGATATCAGAGGCCAGTTTTGAGATTCTATTAGGAACATTTGGAGGCTTGATTTCTATTCTTGGGTATGGAAAGAACTACCTGATAGTGTCTCAATCTATACAGAAGGTGTGTGTCAGACCTGCTGTCCATACAGACAGATTTATTTGTTGAAGTATCTTTTTCTCTAACCAAACCTGCTCAAGCAATTGGTTCAGATTCCACAACTATGTCATATAAAATAAGATTTTAAAAATATTTTTTTAGCTAAAGTATTAAAAAGTATTACAGAAAATAACCTTGTCTTTAGGAAAACAACAACATAAAAGCTTTGAACATAAAAGAATATAGCTGTGGCCCCTGTCAAACATCTAATTTTCCATCTTCTTAGACTTGGTAGAATAAAGTAGCTTCAGATTGTGGACAACCTTAACCATTGAATCGATCCATTGGGTTTCATTTGGGTATTTCGTACTTTACCTTTGTTTGTGGCATAGTTTATGGAGATCTGTTTGCTCTGAAGATAAATGTGCTTCTTCAAGGCTGGACCGACTCGTGAGTGGGTGAGAATGCTGGGCATGTAGAATGTTGTATATCTCGTCCCAGCCACTTTTTAGCAGAAGAATGCCCTGAACTATCAATGCCCTTTACCACATCTTAGAAGAGGGGTACACCAGCTTACAAATTATTCTTTGCATTATCGATAAAGTTCTATCTAGGACTTGTCTCAACATTAGCAGAATAGCCAGGCATGGTGGCTCACGTCTGGAATCCTGGCATTCTGAGAGGCAGAGGTGGATGGATTGCATGAGCTCAGGAGTTCAAACCAGCCTAAGCAAAACGAGACCCTGTCTCTACGGAAAATAGAAAAATTAGCTATGGCCAAAAATTAGCCAGCTATGGAATGAGGGTACTGTTCCCAGGCCAACAGAGAAACTCTTTTTTTGAACAAAACAAAACAAACCCCCAACCCCCCTAAAACAGAATAGGCACACATTTATTATTCTTCAAGGGGGAAATTATGCCTAAATGCAAATGTTTAAGTACTACTTGCTTAGAAACTCTGTACAGTCTAAATTTTACTATATTGAAGATTGTGATACATTGTATTAAGTGGTATACATATATGAAAAATACCTATTAAAAAGAATAGCTTACAAAGGTCAGTGTTGTTGTTTATTGGTTTTAAAATCTCATGCCCTCTACTTTTATAAACTGTAGTTATTTTGTTTTATTTTTATTTTTGTTTGTAGGGTGCTCTGGAGTAAATCACTCAATTTAAGTGGTATATATTAGTAGAGAAACACAGATAAATTCTTGTGGAAGCTTAGAGCATAGAAAGATTACTCTTATATCCAGGAAGAATCAAGGGAGGCTTCATGGAAGGGCAGGTATTTAAATCCTGTCTTGACAATTGATGGGGGATGATCAATAAGTTGATCAGTGTTATTCAACCTTTTCTATCTCATGACGCAGTTGAATCTATAGTTAAACTTCCACAGCACACTTCCATTATGTTGACATTAAAAAAAAGGTAAAAAAATATATAATTACTGTGCTTTGAATGTCTTTTGAAAATAATTTAATCTTGAAAAATTTTCATAGCACACCTAAGTTCTCTCCTGGCACACACCAGTTGAAAACCACTAATGTAGTGGATAAAAACTTTCCAGGGAAAATCACAAAGGCATAGTGATTTGAAACTTTAGTAAGGGTTGGGTAGGAGCCACGGGCAGATTTAGTTTAATTTTTTTTTCAAGTTTTATTTTTTGTCAGAGCAGTGATATCATCCTGGTTCACTTTAGAGATTGGCTAGTCATTATTCGTTTGTATTTTCTGCCTTCTTTCTTCTTTTGAGATTTTTGGATCATTCCTTGGTTTGTTGGTATTAGTTAATTTGACGTGGCTCTTAAACAGTGCCCCCATTTTCTTTTATCTTGAGAGCATACTATCCTTGTGTAGGTTTTTCATTTATTAACACATCGATTAGACATGTACTTTGAGGTCACACCATACTAATCCCTGGAGATCTGCAGACAAAGTCCCCCTTCTTAGGAAGCTCACAGTCTAACTTTGCACCGTAGGAGATAAAAATGGAAATCAGATGTGTGCTCTGCTCTTAAGGAGCCGAAGCCAGATGGGAAATGTGAGGTATACACAGGAATAACTTGAAACACATTAGCGATTGTTAAATGACTTGAGAGGTAAATAGAAAAGGTGGTGGGGAAGGCAAAACAAAAGATGGTTAGATTTGTTTTCTACGTAATTTGAAGCAGAAATGGGCTAGAATTCTTGCTTCTTGATTCTTTTGTTCCTGGATTAGTATGCTTTCCACTGTACTGTATATTTTTTCCTAGATCACAGCTATTTAGAGCCAACACTTTCTGTACACAAACAGAGCTAGCAAATGCAAATTTTGTTTTTGACATGAACATTACAGTGATACACTAATATATAAGGAACTAACTGATTCTCACGTATGTCTTCTGAATAACGTCTTTTAGGCTTAGGATAC